GTGTGAAACTAGTGAGGGAAAGTTCCCAAGAAAAAACGTATCGCAAGCGAAAATGATATTTTGGTGAGAATTCCATCACTGCGCAGGAGGTAGCCTCTCCCTGTGGGTGCAAACTTGTTGTGCATAATTTGCCATGAAAACATCTCCGATCCATACCGAAATAATAACAGTTAGTTTGCAAACACGTTTTCTTACACGATTCAAGCAAAAGTTTCCACCGGAAATTATTAGTTTTTCTTTATGTACCGATTTGCCCCAAAAATCGTCTGTTTTACTTGGAGAATTTGGAAACTATCCTCCTTCTAGTAGTTCTCACTTTGAAATGTAGGTGGCGAAAGCTTGTAAAAGTTTCACTGCAATTGATGAATCTACGTTACGGTCGGCCAGTAGATGGAAATGATGTGAAAATGATAATGACGTTTTGCTAGCTGTCAAATCGTATGGAATATTTTTTAGTACATCATCACTTTTGTGGTTTTGGATTTCAAACCTAGGTGTCGCATGCACTGGTGCAGTTTTGCGTAGATTCATCAATACGCAAATTTGGTAAGTTGCATTATTTTCATATAAACGATCTGTTTGCTGACCAGTTTTCTGGGTGCACTGATCGACACGAACTTTCTTTTTTTCGTTCTCCTTGTGTTTCGACAACCAGCGTTTGTTGGTATTGTCAATGAAATCCTTTGTTGCGTTTGATGAGCTGGTGCTAGAGTTTTTGTCGTTACCTTCAACGTTTGAAGTGTGATGATCCTCGGTTTGATTGTCGGTGTTTCGCTGTTGTTCTACTGCTGAGAAACCGGTAAAAACAGGAGATGATGTTCGATATCCATCGACGGGAAATCAGCGAGACTGAATACCCGCTCGATTGGTGGAGCTGCTGGAGCGGTGCTATTGTTCGATGTGGCTACATCAAAACATTTCTTTTTGGCATGTGCTGCTCGGCCACAATGGCGGCACGTTTTTGGTTGCTTGTCGTACGTTAATAACGTTGTTTCGTTGTCATACATCACAAAACTCGAACACCGCTCTGGAATCCTGGGAATGCACTCGAACGGTCACTGCTTCACAATCCACATATACCGGGATTTTGAACTCACTCTTCGCACAGAGAAACGCGTGTTTATAGTTGTGCGCTTTTTCATAGCGCAAGGCAACTTCATTGTCTATCATCTCATTAAAAAACACAATTTCGGACGTTATGAAACTGAATGCATCTAACGTTCTAATATAGAAGCTTAATATTGTTCTAGAAGAATTATTGCACTTTTCCCGCTTGGGGACGAACTGGAAGGACACTGAAGTCAACCACAAGTGTGTTTTTACGAACTACACTCATTTTCGCTACAATATTTCACCAAGTTAAGCAGAGCAGAAAGAGCACACGTCCGATGAATACGAGTAACGGCTGTCGAATGACCTTATTACCAACAATCAATTCGAAACTAACGATTTTAAATTGGCTCACTACTTGACTAGCCTATTGTTCCCAAGCAAACGATTAACGTATCCCATTCTAGTCGAAGTTCTAGTACTACACTATGTTTGTTTTGATTTGCTATGAATGTTTGACAGATAAAATGAGGGGTTCATGGATTTTCCTATGTTTCGAGGGGTGTATCGATTAGCTTGGGACCGAAGATAGTACCAGAGCTGAGCCAAAAAGTTAAGCACGTATCTTCGGGACCTTCTGGTCTTAGAGTTACCTCTATGTTATTACGTTGTTTTTCCTTTAATTCTACTACTATTGTGTCACTTTCACTTTCACTAATTCATTTTTTATATATACTTTGATTTACTTACGTAAGATTAAATTATAAACCTACAAATCATGGTTTAACTGTTGGCACACTGCCATCTGCGTTTCATTTTTTTGAAGCCCAGTGTTGCATGCAATCTTGTATGGCAACTTGTGCTCTTGCGGACCCACGGTCGATGAATTTAATTACACTGAAAACGAAACTAGCTCAGAGAGTGAGTCCCTTTTACTCAGCTGCGGGTAACTTTTACTCATTCGTATGCATAAATTTCTAAAAGCGTGTACACTGAAGGTTCAATCAACCGAGGGAAACTAACGATTTTAAATTGGCTCACTACTTGACTCGCCTATTGGTCCCAAGCAAATCGATTAACGTACCCTATTCTAGTCGAAATTCTAGTACTACACTATGTTTGTTTTGATTCGCTATGAAAGTTTGACAGATAAAATGAGGGGTTCGTGGATTTTCCTATGTTTCGAGGGGTGCATCGATTAGCTTGGGACCGAAGAGAGTACCCGGGAAGAGCTGTGCCAAAAATATGGGCACGTTTCTTAGAGTTACCTCTATGGTTCAATGTATTTACTTTATATATTAATGGTATGTATGTATTAGAGAGGGTCTAGTATAAGAGATGAACGGATTCAAAACAAACTGCCTTGGCAACCTATGCCTAGATGATTTCTTCCATCACTGCCAATGCAATCAAGATAAGCGCTGCACGATTGGCTCTGGCTTTGACAGTTCGTTTGGCTCAAAACCAGCCAGTCCGCTCCTCTCTTGAAGAACCTTTCTAGTATGTATGTATGTATGTATGTAAAGGGTGTCCACGATGAAATTGCCACACACAAAATTGATTCGCAAAATTCGAGTTTTCATCCGATTGCCATCAAATTGTCAGGGATTGAGAAATAACTATTAAACTTCATTTTACCATTTTACTCGTATTTTATTTACAGTCCATACGCAAATGCCAGCACCTTGGCCTTAACCCCGGCCATAAGATTCTGCACAACCTGTGAATCAACCGTTTTTTGCATGTAAACCCATACTTTCTTCAGTTCCTCGACTGTCTTCACTACCTTAGGTCGTTTAAGAAGGTGCTGCTTCATAATCGCCCAGTACTTCTCGATGGGGCGGAGCTCCGGAGTGTTGGGAGGGTTGAACATTTTCGGCACGAAATTGACCTTATTGACCGCATACCACTTCAGCACGTCCTTGGAGTAGTGGCATGAGGCCAAATCCGGCCAGAAGATTGTTGGGACGTTGTGAATCTTCAGGAGAGGAAGCAGCCGCTTCTGGAGGCACTCTTTTATGTACACCTGTCCGTTCATCGTGTCCTGGGTCACGAAAGGTGCACTCCGCTTCCCGCACGTGCAGATGGCTTGCCAAACCAGGAATTTCTTCGCAAATTTGGACATCTTCTGAGTGCGGACATGCTCCGGAACGCTGAACTTATCCTTGGCCGTGAAAAACAGGTTGCCGGGGATCTGTTTGAAGTCGGCCTTCACATATGTTTCGTCGTCCATGATGCAGCATTCAACTTTCGTCAGCATGTTGAGGTACAACTTCCTGGCACGGGTTTTGGCGGACTTGTTCTGCTTCTCGTCGCGATTAGGGGCCTTTTGTACCTTGAACGTTCGAAGCCCAGCCTTAGTTTTGGCCTTCTGGACAAAACTTCGGCTTAGGTGCAGCTTCTTAGCCACATCCCTAACGGAGGCGTTCGGATTTCGGTTGAAGGCCCCAACTACGCGGTTGTGATTTTTGGTGTTGTACGGAATACTTTTTCCTTCACTTCTGGGCTTCCGATCGGTGGTCAACCGTTCCTCGAACCGCTTAATCACTCGCGACACCGTGGAATTCGCGATTCCCAACGTTTTAGCGATGGAACGATGCGAGAGATCCTTGTTCTCGTGATGAATGCGCAAGATTTTATCACGCACGAGCTGTTCTTTCGACTCCATTTCCGCGAGTTTTGATCACAGGACTTTAAAACTTGCAGGATGTAAATAATGCACTATGAACTAAATCCACCCAAATTTTCATTAAATTCTACCCAACGGTTAAAAAGTTAGAGCAATTTCATAGTGTGGCAATTTCATCGTGGACACCCTTTAAGAAGCCACCATCCTAGCTTGGGTCTTGCCCTGCATGCGGCTTCACTCAACAGCAAGATCAAATTTCGTCATCATTCTGAATTCAACATACTGCTGTATGAAGGGCCAAATTACTTATTTGTGAACAATTATATGGTTTTCCAAGTATGAATTAGATTGTTTAAATTCAAATTATACACCTTTTTTGTTTCCAAATGTGTTAAACTCAATAGCGTTCTAGGCGTGAAATAACCAAAATAAGTGCGGCTCAAAATATTCCCAAAAATCCAGTCACCACTGCAACAGACAATAACATATCCACCATTTTGAGAAAATCGGAGTTAAAGATCGACAGATTATTATTTTAACTGTTTAGAAACAATACATTTTGCAATACTATTTTTAATGTAGTCAGTGATTAATAACGTTTAAAATTCAGTAGAAACGGTAAAATCACAATTTTTATTTGAATTTCAAGCTACAATACAGCAAAAACCACATAGGACGTTTTGACTAGTCAAGTTGTACATCGAACATGTTACATTGAACGATTTTTCTCAATGACATAATGTTACATCGGACGATTTGTTCTACATGATACTACATTCCCTTTCACAGATGTCATAGTAGAGTACCTAACTTTAGATTAGTCCCGCCTTTAGAAAATGAGCACCAATCATGTAAGGCAGTCCGAATGACCGAAGTAACAAACATGTACCCATCATTCCCAAATAAAAATTGTATGGTTAATTTGCTTAACGACGTGTTCTGGGTATCATCCAAACCATTTGTGTAACAGTTCAATGATTTGGGTTATCGTTCGTTTATGGTTATTTTTTATTAGGGTTTCTAACTGTACATTGGACAATTTTTGACGTATGATTATCTTAAATAAATGAAAGTAAATTTGGATGGATGTTTTTGTATCACATATTAACAATGATAGAAGAGCAATTCAGTCGACTTTCTTGATTGTATGAATGCAGCTTAATAACTTTGATCCAATAAAGCATGCAATATTGCTTGCAAGTTTCAACACAAGAAGCAACCTTCGGTTAAAATACTTTGCATCGACATGTCATGTCATCGATTTGAACTTTCTCAGCTTTTAAAAACAAACACATCGCTGCACAACACAACCGAAACGATCTGATATTATTATAAAAACTGACATCATTCGTGTTGTATGACCTATCGTCGTTTTTTACTGGACACCTTCAAAGCAGCTCGGAGGCTAATTTATTCATCCATTCCAGTCGATTCTAAAACTCCGAAAATGACTTCAAGTTTGGATTTCTACCAAGTCGGAGACGCCATCTGCGACGAAATCCTTGGCCTGCTGGAAATGACCGCCAACGAAACGTTGAAGAAGCAGGACATTTTCCGGCTGGGAGTTTCGGGTGAGTGGCAAATCAGTGTCAACATTTCAAAGGGGCGTAAATGCTTTTGTAGATAATGGCTTTAGCCGTCAATTTCTCGCAAATAAAAGATCATTTTACTTTGACTATATTTTTTGTATTACTTCTGCGTGAAGTCAATGATTTACATAGTTGAAGATGCTAATTTCAAATAACAGACTAAAGTGGTCATTTTTATACGATAGATGAGGAGATGAAAATATATGAGTTGATAGTTCCTTTAGAGTACGGCAGTGTGAAAATTGTATATAGAGTGTAAAAAGCGAGCAAGGACAACTTTTTGGGAAGGTACAAACCACTTTAGTTTGTTATTTGAAAAGATCATTGTTGTGGAGGGGTGAGCCATTGTTAACAAAAGCAACTACGTCCCTTTGAAATGTTAGAACTAAAATGATATTATTTAAAGCTTGATTGATCTTAACCTTGCGACCATATGCTAGGAGGTTCCATCGCCAACATCCTCTCGGAGGGCATGCACGATCTCCGTTCAGACTTCAGCAAGTGGCAGATTTTCCTCTGCGATGAACGGGTCGTTCCGGAGGATGATAAGGAATCCACATACGGCGTCTACAAACGGGACCTGTTGGATTGTCATCCGGAGTTTCCGAAATCGATTTTCTACCCGGTCAATTGTAGCCTAAGCCCGACGGAAGCGGCAGAGGATTATGAGAAGACTATCCGGAGGGCGTTCGGTTTGGAGAAATCGAAGGAGATTCCGTCGTTTGATTTGTTAATTCTGGGGATTGGACCGGATGGGCACACGGCTTCGCTCTTCCCGGGTCATCCGCTGTTGGAGGAAAAGGTGAAGCTGATTGCTCCGATTGAGAACTCACCGAAGCCACCACCCAAGCGGGTCACGATGACCTATCCGTTGATCAACAATGCGAAGGTTTGCTTGTTCGGCTCGCAAGGGGAATCGAAGGCGGATATGTTGAAGAAGATTTTGGTGGACAAGGACGAATCTCTACCGGTGACCCGGGTGGATCCTAAGAATGGTCGGTTGATTTTCGTGGCATGCGATGGAGCTGCCAGCAAAATTGGTGCAAATCCGAGCCGTAAAGCCAAGGCTTGAGAGGCAGACACATGTTGCATTTAAATGCTCTCACTAAGTGTGCCTTAGAAGTGATGCAGAGGAAGATAAAGCCAGTGCACAATCTACAGCTATTCGATGGTTATGTGATAAGGAATTTGTGTTTTTATTGTTTGAATCGTAAAAGTAAAATAAATTAAACTACAATATAATACAAGGTTGTTTCAAACGCATATCACAAATCATTGAACGTAATACTTTAGCTTAGCACATGGGTAAAATTGTAGCCTAATCGAGATTGGTTCCACATCTTGGACACATATATTCCGATTAGAAGCTTTCTATTGGCAGCACCCAGCGTCACATTTCACCGTTGTTTTTCTTCTTTTTCATCAGTCTTCGTTGATAAACTTTTTGTACTCCTGATTGAGGTTGGCATCGATCGGTCCCCAGTTCTTCGACGGTCGGAAGGCGTTCATGATTTTCTGGAAAAGGAATTGAATAGAAATTGGTTATCACATCGAAATACGTTTCCACACATGAAAATCTGTCGGAAATCATCAGTGATCTAAGGAAATCCCATGAAATCTCGTTTTTTCTTCGAATACATCTTCAGTTCCAAATTAACGTCATCGCAACGCAAACGGATCTAATGTGGGTGGCCCTTAAGGGTAATCTCTCATGAATTAAAGACAGTTCAAATAACTTCTTTTAAAATTTGAGAACTTGGGAATTTCAGGAAAGTCCAAAGAACTCCTATGAACCTAAGGAGACATCGAGAGATGTTTCGGAAACTTCACATGTTCAAAGAATTTCAGGAAAATTTAATGGTTTTCAGGACAGTTCCAGTTCCAGGAGAATTTAGAAAAGTTCTGCGAACATCAAAACAGATCAATTAATTGCAAGGAAATTGATGAAACTTCAAACGAGTTCCAAGAAATTTGGGGAATTTTCGAAAATTTCAGCAACGTTCAGTTTGGAGAACTTTAAAAATTGAAATAATCGGGAAGATCAGAGAACTTCAAACACACTTAATAGCTAGATTTTTTTTCTAATCGTGCACCAAGTGTGCCGCAGCTGTGCCGGCTGTATGTTTTCATTGAATGGTGAATATTTGGTATGCTTGGTAACCTGGTATTTTTGACAGTTTGAATATTTGGTATGTGCACTGTGAAACGGATTCGAAGCAGCGGATTTGAGTTGCTACGAAACTTTGCTTCAATTTCCACTGTTTGGTACTGGAATTGCTAATGTTCACGGTATGAAAAAAGTACCCAAAGGTCAGTTCAATTTTACCTACTTTTGACTGGTTTGTCCCCTTTTTTCCTTCTAATGTTGTCAAAAACGGAGGAGCAAAACCACCCAACAGAGGTAGTAAAGTGTGGGAACCCAACGTTGAGTATACAATCATATTTACAGACTTTTGGGTACAACTAACTTACTTTTGGGTAGAAAGCGAATGGAAAATTTCATTCGAATTGCACACAAGTAAATGAAAACTCTTTTGACGCGCTTTACCTACTTTTGGGCTCCTGCACTATAGTGCCGAAATGAGTGAAAAGAACTTACTTTTGGGTATTTTTTTCTTACCGTGTAGCAACCGCTGGGGAGGATAATAGTAACACCACAGACAAACAGACATAACACATTGAATATTTCTCAATATAAAACATCGTCGCTAAAACATTACCGCCATCTGTTGAGTACACTGTGGTGGGTAGTACGCTGAACAGATGGCGGTAGTGTGTAAACGTCAAACGCAAGGGAATTGACTATGCGCGCCACAGGTGGCGGTACTACCAACTACGATACTTTTGAATTGACCGTTAAATGCTTGTTCGATGAACAACTTGCGAGTGTTATGTCTGTTTGTCTGTGGTAACACGAAGAATAACAACGTGAACAGCTCGGCAAGGGAGACCGCTCCGAGGGAACCGGGGAAAGTAGGTCACGAGATCGTGAAATGATTGGCCACTACGGCATTGTTGCATCAGCTCAAGGAAATGGGAAATTTGAACGGCTCTCGCAATCATAAATTTCGTTTGTGATAAAGCAATAGTCAAAGGTTCTTTCAGCACAAATCGTAAAGTTGACTGTAGGGATTATAGTAGTCAATAATGATTAATTTGGAAAAAACGGTACGCTTTCGTAAAAAAGTTGCTTTTGCACTTAAAAATTGCTTCAACAAATTGTTTAGTCTAATTGCTAAAAAAAGAAAAGAAAAAAAAAGTTCGTTTGGTTGATAGAATTCAAAATATATTGCAATTTAAGTATTTTTTTTAACACCACAATGTGTTCCCGGATTAACGGGGTCCGGATAAACGAGGTCCAGATTAACGGGGTCCGGATTATAGAGTCACCGGATTAACGAGTTTCGGATTAGTGGGGGTATAATGTATAGCCATGTTGCTAGATTCGTTTAAATGTCATGTAAATATCGGTCGTTGGTGCCAATAGGTGTGCCCGTATTGTGCCAGATCTGTTTTCGGCACACTGTGCTGAGTGACGAACCTCTTAACTTCAATGCATTAATTTGAAGAAAATTGTGAGCGCACAAAGAAAGTTCTGAAATCTTCCACAAAGTCCAAAGAGCTTTCCGGAAGTTTCATTATAGTCAGGGAAGTTCCGAGTACTTCAGGATGATCAGGGAACTTCAAAACAGACCCATTAATTTCAAGAAAATTGCAGAACTTTCAAGGAGTTTCGAGGAATTATGGGATATTCCGAAGTGAATTTCAGGAATGTTCCGAAAACTTCAGGGACATTGCGGGGCCTTCAGAGATATTTTATGAATATCAGGAAAATGGCTGGATCATTATAATACGTAATGAACTTCAGGGAATGTTGAGCTTTTGACTTCATCAGTGCCAAGTGGTGTTGAGCAGATGAAGTCTGTAGACAAATACGCGTATCTGTCAAAAGATAAGCAATTATAACGGAATTAAAAGGAAATAAACCAACACACTCAAAGCTCTTCATAATAAATACCGATTTGTGTAAACATTTGATAACGATAAGCTTGAACATAATCTGGCAACGCTGATTAAGTTCCAAGTTCGCTACTATACTTTGAACACAGACAAACAGACATAACATATTGAATATTTCTCACTGTAAAACATCGTCACTAAAACATTACCGCCATCTGTTGAGTACACTGTGGTGGGTAGTACGCTGAACAGATGGCGGTAGTGTGTAAACGTCAAACGCAAGGGAATTGACTATGCGCGCCACAGGTGGCGGTACTACCAACTTCGATACTTTTAAATTGACCGTTAAATGCTTGTTCGATGAACAACTTGCGAGTGTTATGTCTGTTTGTCTGTGCTTTGAAGATTCCTCATCTTCTTCTTAAAATTCTGCTTGGAGATCCAAAATTGTTTTACCCTTTCATTCTGATAGCTCCAGAATTTTGTCAACATGGTAGTTTCATAAAATGTTCACTCTTGTTTATGATCTTTGTTTTGTTTTTTTCAAGCGTGCGTTTAGGTACCCCTGAGATTCAAGATTTCGTATTTTTACTTACCTCCGTCAAGTTCTTTCCATCCTGTTTCACAATGGCGTAGATTCCCCAGATCGGTAGCTGAAGCAATCCAAATGCAGCTATACTCCATCCAAAGTCTGCAAGTTAACAATATCATACGTCAAAAAAATAAAATCCCAACTCAAACTGTCCCCAAACCACCAACTCACCGTAAGCGATCGTTGGATAGACATAACCCTGATAGGTCAACGGTTCCAACGTCACCAGATTGTACACCAATATAACCGACATCAACAGTGGCGTGATCCACTTCCAGCACAGCCGCCAGTACAAATTCGGCCGGATGCCAAGCATGAATTCCACATCCTTGCAGAACCTATCCACGCCGTAGATCCACCCGATAGTAATCAACTCCGCGATGGCCAGGACCAGTGCAATGAATGACGCCCCAAAGTGATCCACCAGCGTCAGAATATACTGACCACCTGGAGTCACGTAAACACTCCCGAGCGCTACCCCACAAATGGCGATCACCGTAGCCGCCTGCCAGTTTTTCACCTTCGGAAACTGATCCCGAATTACGGTCATCACGCACGAAGTCATCGCCACGTTACTTCCAATCCCCAGCACGAACAACATCAGAAAGAACAACACTGAGAACGCCTGCGGAATGACGTCGAATTTTGCAATAGCTTCCGGATATGATATGAACGCCAATCCAGCCCCTGGTTTCACTACCGAACCAACATCCTTGCTGCCCACGACGTGCGCCAAGTGTCCCAAAATTCCGAAAATCGTACATCCTGCCAGCAGCGAAGTGAAGGTATCGATTGTCGTCACGATGGTAGCATCCCGGTGGACGTTGTGCCGGAACTTGTTGTACGACGAGTACATGATGATGTTGCCGAAGCAGATCGACAGTGAGAAGAAACACTGGGTAACGGCGGCGTACCATACCTTCGGGTCGAGAATTTTGTCCCACTGCGGCTTGAGGAAGTAGATGATACCGTTGATGGCACCAGGTAGAGTGCAGGCCCGAACCAACAAGATTGTGATGACGACATACGGAAACAGGGCCAGGAAGTAGGACACCTTGCCGGCACTTCGCACGCCTGTTGAGAGGATGGATTTGATTAGGCACTAACGTTACCGTGAAGTTGTACTGACTGAAGGATTACCTTTGATGAGAATGAGAAGAACGATGGACCAGGACAGGCATAGGAACAGTGTTAGCTGCCAATCCGGGAGGCCGATCCCGTCGTCAATATTGTCGATTTCCTTGAGAACTACTCGTCTGGAGGAGAGAAAATTAGCATTAGGCATGGGTTATTACGATGATTAATACATATATGTGCGGCTCTATGTAGAACATACAACACTGAGACCTGCACCCTATGCTAATTATCTACGATTTACATTTTAACAGTGTAGTATATCTATGGTAGTATCTTGTAACTTGGATTATAATGTCTTGTTCAGACTACAGAGTTATAACATAGAGGAAACTCTAAGACTAGTAGTTTCCGAAGAAACGTGCTCAACTTTTCGGCTCAGCTCTGGTACTATCTTCGGTCCAAAGCTAATCGATGCACCCCTCGAAACATAGGAAAATCCACGAACCCCTCATTTTATCTGTCAAAATTTCATAGGGAATCAAAACAAACATAGTGTAGTACTAGAATTTCAACTAGAATGGGGTACGTTAATCGATTTGCTATATATATAAAGTCCAACTTAGGTTTGTCCAAACTATTCAACCTAGGCATGCAGATCATCATTGAGAGTAACATCCTATGAAATAAATAATGTGTTGTAAGACCACTAATGCCATAACTGGAACACTTACTCTATTATTAAATAATAATTTTAACTGAGTCAAGTAAATCGTCCACACATGATGGTAAAGCAAACTCCACAATGACGTCATAACTGCTAATTCTTAACACCAAGCACCTACTTACTTGAAGTACATTTCCGAACTACTAACTTTCTCTGTGCCACCTCCAACCGTCCCATTGCCACCGACCGTCGATGTCAGTTGCCGTGCCGTAGCATCGACACAGCTAGCACCCCATTCCGGGTCACAGTGAGCCCACGGCAGAGGGCTTTTGAATGAATCGAACATGTAGCTCGCAATGAGTGCCATCAGCGATGAGTAGTAGGTGATTAATGTGATTATCGAGAAGAGCTGTCCAAATCCGACACCTTCCAGTGAGAAAACATCAGCTATTGTGTTAAGACTTACTATTTCTACTTATGTGCATAACCATTAGAACCAGATTTTAGTAACCAAGAAGAGTCCCGAGAAGAAATCAATCGAAAGTGTGTCCAGACTTACTTATAATACAATTCGGCCGAAGAACTCATCTGAACTATGGTCGAGTTGGAAACTATCGAGCCGTTCATGGGCCTCTGAAGGGTGCTGTTTCCCGAAGGGATACAGTGACCGGTCCAACTCGCGTCACAGGTAGCCCACGGAAGGATCTTTTGAAACGACTCAAACAGATACTTCAGCGTGGTGGCCATCAGTGAGGCGTAGTAGGTGGAAACGATCGCTATCGAGAGGACCTGTCCGTAGCCGACGCCTTTTTGGGTTTTAGTTTGGAGAATTTACAAAATTTACACAAATGATCTCTGGGTTGGGTATTGAAGGTTCTAAGAATTACCTCTCATGGCAGGAGCACAATCGTACACCTTGACGCTGCCCCGGCTGGAGAACTGACCAATGATCATTTCCATGTAGTATACTGGTTTACCAACCAAGAGAAGCACTATGATGTAAGGTATGACGAAGGCACCGCCTCCATTTTCCAGAGCAATGAAGGGGAAGCGCCACACGTTTCCTAGTCCCACGGACATGGCTATGCAGGACATGAGGAACTCGATTCCCTTGCCCCATTGATCACGTCCTTTGCTGTTGTCGTCCTCGTCATCGTTGTTTTCTAGTGAGGTGGTGGAACTGTTGGTCACCGTTTGTGTTTCAACCTACGGAATTAAATCAATTAACATTCCACTTATCATGCATTAATTGTTGTAAAATTACCGAATCCCCACTCCGCGAGTTCCTTCGATCGCTGTGACCGGGAACATCATTTTCGATCACCGTACTCCATCGGAACTGACCCGGTATCGAGGGGCTATCTCCAACGAATCCGTTATTCTCGCGACCTTCCATGTTTGCTTTTCCTCGTGCCGAGTCGGACGCCATTAGCCACCGTTCCTTTCACTGTCCTACGCTGGATCTGAAACAAAAGCAAAGCACAGATAGGTTTGTTCAGCGGTCCGAATAAATCAACTGTATCAATTATCTTCGCACACACATGTCGGGGCTCTCGGTACTGGTTCGACGCATAAATGGACCGGTCTACAATTACCAACCCTTTGCCTCGACCTCCCCCAAAGACCATTCCATCGGTAGCGCGAGATTTGTTCGAAACGGCAAGTGTTTCCAGGTTGTCCCTAAAGGCTACCGCATTCATTTCAGCTGTCAAACTTGTTCATGTATTTATTCAGATTTATTCGATTGATTGGTTAGAAATAAGATCAGAATTGATGACCGGTACTCGCTTGTGACGCAGTCGACTTAAAAAATATAATCAGGAAACAAGTTGGTGCGACAGATCGAAGTAAAACGGTACGCATAAAAAGGAGGCACGTACCGGCATAAGTGTAAGTGCAATTGCCGTTGCCCGTGTCGGTCGGGCTGGTAGCTAGTCACTACTTGGACAAGTTTCGGCTTCGTGAGTAGAATCTCAATAATAACATCAACAAAACGACGGGTTTGGGGGCACAGTGACTGGTTTGCAGGTTTTTTGTTTTTCATATTCTATAAACAAGCGGTTTCCGATTTTCAATGTCAATTATGATCAATGATCTGCACGCAAGATCGTGCCTGCATGTCTGATGTAGTTGAACAGCTGGTTTTGAAAGAGAGGCCGGTTTGAGGGTGAGGATTGATCACGGTACACGGTGGATCTTTTGTTGCTAAGCTTGAATTAGTTTTGGTCAATTGAAGTGGAATAATTATATTTTCAATGCCTCTAGAGAAAAAAGGCAAAACAATTATACTCAGTTTATTTAAATTCCGTGAAGAAACCTATCGTCAGAGATGCCAGATTTGCGGACATATCTGTGAATGTGCTGACTTTTTATTTTTATCGGCGTTTTCAGATTTTGGAAGTTATAGATCTAATCACACATAAACTTAAACTTTTTCCAATATGTTTGATTCATACTACAGTCCAAGGGGGAAGACTCTATCTACAATGCAGGAAGATTGTGTTTTGCTGTGGCTAGCTGTGTGCATGCTGAGCAGATAGAAAGAAGGTTGATGACGATTCTGAAGATTTCCTGCAAATATAGATGATGCGCGATGCAAGAAGATTTTTCGAAGATTGATTCACTAGTGTGAGATTTTTTGAGCATCTAGAATTGAGATTAAGATGTGTCCGCCTTGACGTAAGTCTCACCATCTATCATGAGACAATGAGGCTTCGTCAGCATTTGGGTGTTCAGTTTCCGGGCCCGTGACTTTCCCACCGTATTTTACCATTTGCCACGATTTGGAGCCTTCTAAACTTTGTACTTATGCAGTCCCTCCCGGTCCTTGGCTCTCTGAACGAAAGACTTGAACAAATTCAAATTTTTGGCCACATCCCTGAAGGCTCAAGCGCAATGACAGCGGAAGCGGAACGGCAGTGCCAGCAGGAAAAGCCGATCTGAGTAAGCCTACTTGTTGGATTGAAAACTAGCTAAAACCAAATCAACTTCGATTAGGCATCTTGATGTCATTTGTGACAACTGTCAAACTTTCCGTTTCCGTTCCACTTCCGCCCACATTGCGTTTGGGCCTTGACCGAAGCATTGGGATTCCGCTTAAGGTGATTCCTTGTAGAGTTCACAAAAGGCCACCACGTAGGCTATACATGCACTTCCAGTTCGAATTTTCAATCACACCCATCTCGAAAATTAATCACTTGAAATTGCTACCTCATGTATGCTGCAGTACAGCAAACGTGGAGTAACAGTTTCATTGTGGTATGCGTCGTATAAACTGATATTTGTGAAATCAAAATTTTGAAGTGGCTACGATAATAAGAATCTCACACCGAAACACCTTAAACGCTTTCACGACACGCTTGTGATCCTGATCACTAAAAGAAATTCCATTCTGACCGCATTTCTCCTTCCGTTTGATGCTCAGAGTTTCGTAGTAACGTTTAATCACACGACCCACCCAATGATGCCACATATTTTCGATTTTCAATCTGTATTTTCATCGCAAAAAAATCTTTTTAATCTGTATCTGACTGACAAAAATCTTTAAACAAATCTGTAAAATTTCTTTATTATGGTCTTAGTGTAGCTTTACGTAAATCTCCATTGAGTAATTTCATAGTTCAGAAGGACTTTTTTCAAAGTTTAGAATCTTGAAAAATTACTAATGGTTACTTTCTAAAGAATTTGTCTATTTGAAAAATCCCCAAATCCTACAAAATTTTTGTTACGTGATGTGTATCTTTTCTATAGATAGAAAATATAAAACATTAAGTTAGAGTTGTGGCGAATCTGTTTCCGGCTGAAGATTTTCTTAATGAAGCAACTATCACAATTTCTAGAATTTTATTTTTTGTATGTCTGTAATTACGAAAACCTTTATCTGGACATTTGTTTTTTTTTTCAACTGCGTAATTTTTCAATAAGTTTTAACACAAACCTTTTACTGAAAGTTTAGTCGAATTGTATGCAATATTCCAAGGGGTGTTCAACTCTGCACACCTTAATTCGTGCCGAGTTATTAGTTGTGTCAAAAGCTGTGCCAAGCGCTCTGCCGAACGCACCTATCAAGGACAATTAAAGTATGCTTATCAAGGTGTTTGGCAACCCTGAAAGTTATGACTTTTGCAATTTTGTTTACATTCTCAATTTCTCTGATGGATCATGGTAGACATTCACCTCCATTCTCATTAGATCGTTAGAGAGTCGGGAGGTGGAAGAGGAACTTCAAACCATCAAACCAAGCATAGTTCAATCCCACGCTTGGAGCAACATCGTCGAACCAGTTTAAATCATCTGATAGACTCAGAAGTGCGTGTCCTCAAAGATATAACCCAAGTCTATCGTATCGCTGATTATGATGCCTTCCCCTGAAGAACTGTCATAAGTTGAAAATAGGATTGTCAGCCACCGCAGACTTCAGCGGAAGCACTTTATCAGGCGCCTTAGATCTGTATAGAACTTGAGAAGATACCGCCCAATCCAGTCAGCTCCACACAGATGACAAACGTGGGCGATTCGCGATAAGAGCACGACTTCCTTCCGATGGGAAGTAAAGCCGTTGGTCCCCGGTTCATGAGTTGATGGGTCGATAGGTAGGGTCCAGGTGTGGGAGCTGCCTTCCTGGCACGTTGGTAGCATTGGTGCTCAGCACGGAAAACAAGATCGACGGAAAAAACAAACCAAAGGAAAAAAAAAGAATATCCGAGGAAAAACGAAGGAGAAAATGTGAAAATTTCCGTCCCGAAGATACTCGGCAAGACCGGGAGCCAAATCTGGCCACCCCTAGGATAAGCTTGTTTTCTTCTTTATTGTTCATTATGCATAACAAAATTATTGATGTACCTCAACTCTCGCAGAAGATATTACTCTGATCCTTCGTTGTACGCTTCGAGATTGGATACATACGACAGTATCAAATGTTATGTTCAAATATAAGAAGAGTGTTCTGGAATAAAGCCTCCAGTGGGACAGCATGTGGGCTAGAATGTGAGCAGCATTGGAAAAAATTTCACGATATTTCACGAAGTTCAACAAGAAAAAAGTTCGTGAGTCCTAGTGCGTTTTGGTGAACTTTTCCAATAGTGAATATGAAGATTCATCAAACTTTAGATGCCCTATGCTCATCGTTCCACAATTAAATCCGATCTTCGCAGGATGCATGGTACTCTTATTTTCATACGAATAGCATAGTGAAGGTGTTCTGCAATCCCTGTTGTATAGTTGGGATCCATTTGCTTGATATTGATAAAATTGTTGGTGTGGCCGTTCGAATTTATCATCAAAGGCAACCATCGGGCATTTTTTCACAATGATTTCATCCTCAATCGAAAACGAATCGTCTCTAGAAGAAACCCGTTTCAACCGTCTTGACTGCCGTATCGACAAGACGCTCTGACCGGCCATGGTGTACATAGATGAACTCGACTGAAGTGAGGCCCTGATAGAAGCTGTTCTAGATGAAAACACGATCCACTGTGATTTTTGCGGTGGAATTCGGAAGAGACGGACTTAGTTTTGCTAGGTTTGAAGAGATTCACGATTCAGACAATACTTACAGATTTTTTCTAATGATCCCCAACACCAATTTGTATCCGTTTGTCGTTTACAGTTCTTGATTGAATCCTTGTATCACCAGTTTTATGTATGATATTCTCCCATTAGTTTCATTTGTGAGTAAACAAAGTATTGACCCGAGTAGTAAACCTTAGAAACGATTGGAAAAATTTCAACTCTCAACAGTGGTGTGTTTTATATTATATTGTTTGTGTCTTCCTTGTCAAAGTGTGTCTTGATGTGCCGAACAATTTGTCATGCTGTGTTTCGTAACAGTGTGCAGATTTGATTGCCCCTTGCAATATTCTTTATTTCTGAAATTTTGTTAATCAAATATCAATATACCTAGTTGACTCTTCGACAAATAGAAAGGGAAACTACTATTTCTTCCAACGAGAAATCAAAGCATCTGAGCATCAGAAGTCCATTCAAAAGATTCCAAGTCCATTCGAAGCTAAAATAATGATAATTTATTTAGTGAAAAAGACGATTTGTGTGTGATGCTCAGATTGAATTCAAGCTGTTCAAAAGAAAGAAAAGATTATTATTCGAAATTAAAAAATATAAAAAAAAGTTTAACATATTTTGAAAAATCTGAAAAATCTGTATATTTTTGAAAAATCTGTAATCTGTATATACAGATATCTGTATCAAAATATTGACAAAAATCTGTATGATTACAGATAAATCTGTATATGTGGCATCACTGGACCCACCGTTGACTGCACGATTCCGAGTTTTTGTTTTTCGATGTCCCGATGAGAGAGTTGAGGATTTTCCAGGTGATTGCGCAAAATCAATTCGCGACGTTGCTTTTCGGGTGATGCCATTTTTCCAGCTTTCGGAAAACTGACAGCGATAAAAAAACAGTGTAAACAATACACTCTAAACTACTTTTACCCAAATTTTC